CCCATTTTCTTATATAAACTTTTAACTGCAGAATATATATTTCAGTTACATTCGTTTTTACTGACAAAAATAGTTTTTTAAATTCTATACAAATTTTTGGTTTGTTTTTTTATAAATTTTTTCTGGTATTTTTTATAGAAAATTCACCATGATTTAATTTAAGGAGAATGTTTCTTATTGTGAATCGAATCGGAACATTTTTGTGAAAAATTCACTAAAAAGCAATGCATAATTCATGTAGTATACCATTGAATTTATTTAGAAGTTTTAACAGGTATAAAAATTTCAAATTATGAAACTATTATAATCATTCATTTATATCAATTTAATAAATGCGATATTAAGAAGTAACGTGTATAGCTATATATATATATATATAAATGTAAAGCATCCATTTATTTATAATTTTAGATATAATACCAAAAGCAATTAATTATAAGTAATAATTTTTTCGGCTGTTTTTGCAATAAGTAACTGAACAAAATAATGAACGAATAAAATATTACGAAGGTAATAAATTTTTTTACATAAAAATGTGATGTTATTAATTTATCTAATTTAATTAATACTTGCTACTACGTTAGTAAAACAAACAATTTAATGGTTATGACATAATAAAGCAGCATTAGAAAGAGTGACAATAAATCTGAAAACACAGAAATGTTGATTGAGTCACTACAATTATATTGTTTACATTTGCCCGAGCGTGACTCGGCACAGCCTATCAACAAATTTATTAGCACATTTGAATTCAAATAAAATCCTTTTATGATGTTGTATACTGCAAAGTTGGATCACTTTAAATGTTCTAATGATAGTATTCAAAGGAATTTGAATATCTTAAGTATTATTATCTACAAAAGATAATTAGAACCAACAACTTTACATTCACCATAGATCGTTATGTAATCGTCTATTGGAAAAATAAATTTTCTAATATTAATTAATTTTACTATAAATATTATAATAATACTTAATTTAATTTATACGCAATATCATTTAACAGCGTTTATCTCATTAATAATACATTCTTAGTTAAATTTTATATTTATAAATAATTAACGATAAATCACAATACCCCGAATGTATTTATTACTTATTATTAAAATATTTGATGCAAGATGGGACATTTCCATAAATTTACGACACGTTACCATTTATATTATGATTTCCCTTTTACGATTTTATTAAGTACAATGAATATGATAAATCAATCACATCATACTTTAAATATCGAGCAAATAATTATAATCATTATTATTATTATTTTTAACGTTAAATCACGATATAAAATTAAAATTATTTATAATTTCATTAAATAATTTCAGATAAAGTGTAAATATATACATACCGCATATTATAAAAGACTTAAAAATAAAAACAAAACATATACCAAATTTTTAATATATTTAAGGAGATTTAATTAAATTAATTTCAATATAGTTTTAAAATTTAGTTATATATTTAAAATTTGTTAATTCAAATATTTTGATAGCAGAAAGAGGAAATATAAATTTCAAAAACTTTATTTCCATTTGTAACTGGAATGTTTAACTTCTGTGAATTTGTACAGTACTATACCAACATTCCGTTTACAGTAAATATAAATGACATGTGACACATTTGTAAATATTGTGTAAAATGATATTCTATTAATAAAAACTCTAGAAAATTGAGAAATATTATCAAATTGAAATTTTATTAAAATGACAGGAATAAAGTAAATTCATTTCATATCGATAATTTCATAGTTATGTTTAACAATGTGTTACAAATAATAAAATTTGATTAAATCTTAAAAATGCTTTATATCGAGTGGAATTCTCCCATCATATTAATAATTATTTTAAATATTTTAAAACAAATGTAAAAATATAACGAAATTTATAACAGAAAATTTGGTAATGAATTATAAATGTCTTTATTCCTTTAAAAATTTAAATAATAATAATTAATTATNAAAATAATTAAGATAGAAAATAATTTTTTCTCATAAATTTGTATCTTAATTATTTTATAAGTTTATTTAAAAGCTTAATTAGATAATTTTTATTAATTTTTGCCATTTATTTACTTATATTTGGTTTTTATTGGTAATAAAATTTTTGTTTTCTAGTATAAAATGATGATTTAACAACTTTCTACTGTTCTTTATTACTACTTCATTAAGTTTCAACGATGGTTCAAATGTGATTATCAGATGTTAGAAAGAGTGATATGAAAGCCAGCAAGGCGCCTGACTTTCAGACTCGTACATGCTGGGTTAGTTCCCTCTAGTTACAGCTGAACAGCAATTCTATCGGCATCCCTTCCAATAGGTACCCAGCTCTTGCTATGTTAAAAGATAACATAGCGGAAAGGAACAAGAGAATAGGGAATTCACTCATTCGGAAATAAGATGACATCTCTCTCTCTCTGTTTAATTCTGATTGGCAGAACAAAATTATTTATTTTTATTTTCTGTTTTATCAATATGAATCTTATACTATCAAATATGTTTAAACTTGAATTTATAAATAATTCAAGTATATTCAATATAAAACGTTTTTCTTAATAAATATATTTGTAAATATTACAACATTAACAATTTTAATATAATGAGTTATTATAATTATATTTAAATACCTTTTTAACTTTTAACATTAAACATCAGGTAAAAGAATAATGAGCTTAATTTTATGTATTTTTAACGAATGATTCAATTTTTGAATCTTAAATCATGCGATTTTAAATATAATAAAGGACAGTTTAACTTTAAAACTCACTCTAGTGTAAAATTAATTTAAAATCATTAAATAACTAACCATATTAAATTCATTTAAAATGTACTTAGTTTTTTTATTTTTGTTAAAAAATATATATATTTACTTTAAACAAAACAGCACGTATGTTTGGCTTCGAGCCATAAATTATTTTTGACATTTTTTGTTGTTGTTGTTGTTTTATGTTTGAACAGAGATAACTAGAATTTATTTTGTTAATGGAGTGCATTGTTGTTTACAGTAATCCATATTTTAAGGATAATCACAGCAGTCATTAAATCTAACACAACTAATTAAATTAGCGTTGCAATTAGTTTGGAATAAGAAATGAACGTTTTATAAAGCAACAATATTCAACTATTGTCGTTAGTCAACGTTAAGTTTTAAATTGCTAATGAAGTTATAAACCCGATCTGCAAATGAATGAAAAACAAACTTTTGATACAACTGTTAGAAATCAATGCTGGAACTTTAGAATTAAAAGAATAAAGTAAAAAGGGGGGGTCAGTTGTGAAAAATTAAGTCCAATTAAGTAAAGAACGTTGACACAATTGTCTGGAGATTACAGCGCGACACACCAAATACAACTGTAGTGGATAATTTGGACTCGCATCGGTTGACAGTACACGATTCACTAAAGGAACAAAATAGTATCGATTGTAGACCGGAGCACGACCGATGTTTATACAGACACTTGGAAAGGACAGCCGTATAAATCCACCCTGTTCTAATTAGGTTTCCATTCGATTGGATTCGTTGGGGTCTCTACGGATTAAGTTTGTATACAAGCAATATCATTTGGCGATGAAAACATGCGCATCACTAATACTAAACAATTACTTTTGCTTCCAGATTACATCTTAGGTATTGATTTAAACGACTATTATCGTACTAATAATCTTTATATTATAAAAATAAATAAATAGATAAAATAAAATAAAAACATAATTTAAATTTATCTAGAGTAAATTTTAAAAATCCTTCACTTTAAAACAGATTCTTACTTAGATTCTCTAATGATTNATTTCTTCGGATGTTATTCATTCGTTTCAACAAACGGGTGCGTATTTTAGCGTCTGTCTAACGAAACTAAGCATTTCGTGTAAAGTCTAACGGTCTAACGGCTTATTAGCGCATGACGTAAAACAAAACAGCTGAACGTTTCTGCGCTTTTGTATATTGTAACATGCAGATTCTTGAATGCGTGTCCTCGATGGTAATTTTTAAATATTTTAATGTTATTGTTATTTAAGCGGTCTTGCTAGACCATGTCATGTTATAATTAATACACTTACTTGCAATATGTATATTATTCATGTAGACCGAAATAATATTTGTTACTGTGAAATTGTATTCCCCCTCGAAAAGGGAAAATTTCCCTTGGAAATAAAAAATAAAAAATAATATTTAATAATCAATGTTGTCTGTATTTACTATTAAATATGGAATTCGATATAAAGCAATATTAAATATTTCATTTAATTATAATTTAAAAAGTTACTTGAGAGTTTAATATTCTATATAAGTTAAAAAATAATTTCTTTGAGTTATTTATTGTGGCAAATTTTCCATTAAAAATTCTTATATTAGATTTTCTTAGAAAAAATCAATAGTTTAAATTTAATAAATCATTAATCTATTAAATAAATTCATTACCTAAAGTATTTGTTATTAACTGTTATAATTATTAGTAATCCATATAAAATATTTATATATTTACGTTGAAAATAATCAAATAAATAATAGATTTTCAAAATAATTAAAATAAAATTCAAATTTATTCATTACTTTAAAATTAATTACGGTAATTTTTTAGGCTAAACTTTATTAAAAACTTTTGAATAATTAAAACGTTGGTTCATTAATAATTGTATGATTAAATAATATTTATTACATTTATTTTCATTTAAAACTTAAATTCATTTCAGGAAAATAAGAAGATAAAAATTATAAAATTGTAATATTTTTATTACTTAATAAATATAAAAATATATAATTTACGGTCAATTCTATTTTAATAAAAAATGTGAATTTTTAATGCAAATAAATTAACTATTTTAATTTATAAACATTTTTTACATGTTTTCGTCCAATTTGCTTTGCATATTTAATAACTATTAAAAATAAAAAATGACTATAACATACAGAATTAAGTCAAAACGTTAACTGTATCCATCTAAAAGATTATGATTTTATTTTTAGTATTTATAATAATAATTTCTTTAAAAATATGCTTACTTTCTGTTAATATCAATAACTCTTCTGTAAAATTACTAGGTCCCAATTCATTTACTGATGCAATGGATAGTATATATTGTGTATCAGATTTTAGATTTTCAATACGAAAAAATAATTTTGATCCATCGACTTCTATATAAGAATGAACATCGGAACCAACTTCAAAATAACGTATCTTATACATCTGTTCTGAACCCCCATCATATCCAGGTACCCAACTCACCAAAATACTATCAAATGTAGTATTGATTACGCGGAATTCTGTAGGAGTTTCAGGTACATCTGCAAATAAATATTTTATTATTAAATCTTCTTTTATATCAAATAAAGTTTTCTTCTAGACGGTTTTAATTTTAGAAGATATAATTAATTGCATCTTTACAAATAATTTATAAAGTTTCGTCTTAACCGAAGTCCTTAATCAACGTGTTCATGAAGAATTCAAGCTAAGTTAAAAGATAATACCGAAAAGTATTAAGATATCTATATCAAGTTGCAATTGCTAAGAATTCTAATGAAAGATTTATTAATGAAGAGAATCTAATTCTACTTAAATTCAAAACTAATGTTGTTTAATTATACCATATATTTAAATTTGAATAAATATATTAAATCTTCATTAATATGATAAATTACTTATCATTATCACATCAAATATTTATATTCCAGTACATATTAGATGTAAAATTGTAAACTGCTTTACAGAATATGGAAATGCGAGGTTTCAAATTTCACTTACCTTTCTTGAGCAATTCAAAAATGACTGATTCGTATCCAATTTGATTCTTTGCTACACATTCGTAGGAACCTAGGTCTTTCGGTTCAATGTCTTTGACAAACAGTGTGCTTTCATATAACTTCTCTGTTAATTCTTTTAATCTGATTGCGTATTTTGATGAATCGCCCCTTATTTCCATATAATGAGTTTTAAAATTCCATTCAAATTCTATTTTCGGATATCCTTCTGCTAGACATAATAATCTGGAGGTATCTCCTAACTCGCTTGCAACTTTCTGCACCAATATTTCTCGATGAATCACTGGCCTGTCTAAGGCACACAACCAAAAAATAAAAAAAGTTTGAGTAAAATAAACATTTATCACCGAATGACAATATCTTACATTATAATTAATTTTAGTCAACCAATTAAAATATTTTAGAAAATTAAACTGATTTGTAAGAAGCTGAAATAGTAAGCTGTTTTGTTTCACAATATCAAGAAACCAAATAATATCCAAAATGCGTGATGTAAATATAAAAAAACAACATAACCCAAAGACTTGAGATACTATACAATAAGAGAAGTCTCAGTTTCAGGTAACAATGCCTCTAAAATATGAAAGTTTGGTTCTCTCTGTAAGATGGTATATGAAAAAATATATATACAAATATATAGAAATATCCTACTCTATGTTTTAAAATGAAATGCGAAGTATTGTGACCATTCATGAAAACAGAATAAATACATCCATTAATTAATCAGAACTTAAGATTGTAACAAATTGGTAAGCACTCGACGTCATCGGAAGCCAAACATGAGTTTTAATTTTTTTTTTCATTGGTTTTGCACTTTCAACATTATTTGGTTTCTTAAAAACTTTCTTCTGCTCCTGAATTTTTAAAAATTAGTAACTATTTTAAGCACTGTAAATATTTTAAATACGATACAAACTTTTTGCAGATTTTCTTATATATTTTCTAGATTATGTAAAACTGCAAGAAGTGATTCAAGAAAGGTGGGTAATAAAAATTTTGAAATATTGTAGTTTATTCTATGTTTTATAAAAGTTATTCGATAACATCATTTATTCTTTAATGTTACAAAAAGTTGAACATAAATGTAAAAAAACAGGAATGATGCATACACTTTATCACAAGATAGGAAGACAAGGAGGATGCACCACCAATACCATTGTCCGCAATACAATCATATTGTCCAGCATCATCTTTATTGACGTTGATGATGGTTAGATATGACTTGCGACTGCTTATCATGTGATGGACTACAGAGGTATCTGTTCCTTTTTTCTTCCAAGTGATTACGGAATCAGGTAAAGGATTTCCGTCAACTGTACATTCTAGATAAGCGTCTTTTCCTTCCTTTATCTCTAGATACTCTGTTATATTGGTAACAGTTGCAGGATCTAAAAAATCCGTAAAAAGCGGAATATTTTTAAAACTCTTTAAAACCGAATTTATTTATAAATAGAAAAATAAATCTCAAAGATATATAATCCAAAAATAGAATAGACTTAAAAAGTTTTAAAAAATTGATATATTTTATTGTTTATAAGGTAAACTGTAAAGAATTTTTAAGATGGGTTCATTAAATTTAAAGTAGTACTTTAAAAAAAATCTTACAAAGGACATTTAACACTACTGATGCATTTGCCGTTCCTTCTTCATTTTCTGCCTCGCATATATAAGTACCAGCATCGTATCTCGTTACAAGATTGATTTCAAGAACAGGACCATCAGTTGTTATTGTGGGTCGAGATCTCCTAACGTCATCTGTCGATCTATCTCTATTAGGTTTACTAGGAACTAAATTATCTTCTTTTGACCAAGTAAACCATGCTACTTCAGGATTTCCTTCTACATACAAAGTTACTTGAGTCGAATCTCCTTCCACAATATCAATAACCTTAGTCGCTTCTGAAAATCTAGGTTTATCTGAAAGCCATCAAAATTGAAAAACTATATTAAATAAATTTCAATTGAAGAGATAAAAAAATAAATTTTTACCAAGAAATTTTTTATCAATTTATAAAATAAGAAAAAACTTTAAATAAAATTTATATTACATATTATTAATTTAAAAAGTTGTTTGCTTTATTTTTATATTGTAAAAATAGTTTATCAAATAAATTTTTTCTTATTATTTATTATTTACGTGAATAAAATAGTTTTTATTAAAGTAAAATAATTCCTTTTTAAAGAATTATTTATAGAATAATTTATAGAAAAAGTTAATGAAATTTTTATTGTGTTCTTAACTGTTAAGTAAAATAAATATTAAAAATTAAAAATTAGCTTTGATAAAAAGTTTATTTTCAACTTTTTATTTCAAATTCACTTTATGATTTTTACATTTATACATATATCACTATATATTTTATATAATTTATATTTATCAATAAAAGATATTTCATATTAGATATTTTTTTTACTTTAAAGTTTAATAACAGTTATACTTTTAAATTTATATATGTTACTAACTATATTTGATAACGCTTAATACAATTTGCATATAAGTAATGTGTACATGAACTCATTTTTTTAAGGAAAATAAATAAAATATATTTTGAAATATACTTTCTAGCGGAGGCATAATTGTTGATAAAGCTACGGAAGATTAACGATGTGACATTCAGAAACAAATTTAGAAGAAAAATGATAAATGTGAAAATGGAGAATATCAGAAAGTCCTGTTTCTAAAGATTTCTGTATTCAGTTCACTGTAGATATTATTGTGTAATATTTAAAAAAGACCTTATTCTGCTTGGATATTTCTAGTTATCTATTATTAAATCACAGACTATAGGATGGAAAATTACCTTTTCTTGCACATTAGAACATTAATCCTTTCTAGAGTCTCTCTCCTTAGCCCATATAAATGTCTTATGAAATATTTTATTTTACAATAAATTTTTATACTAATTATTCCTATATATTCTTTCAATTAAGTTAAATACATCAATTTTCTTGAAAGTTAAAAATGTTCTTTTTTTAATTTACAATAAAATAAAATGCTACCGTGTTCTCTGTCATTTTTTTTAAAACTGAAACTTAAATTCTAGTATTCTATTTTTCATTGGAGAATTAAGTTCTGTATTCTAATGTGGGTATGTATATATCTATATATTATAAATATTAAAATAAAATTAAATATGAATGGAACCATCACTCACATATATGGGTTTAGATATTTACATAGTTAAAATGTTATTTACACCTGCTTTCTCAAAATCAAGCTTCCAACTATATAAAATTCGTTTCTATTAAAAAATGTTTTTTGGGATTAGATATTTTCAACATAAAAAGATTTCTAAAAAATAAAAGACCGTCTCATGTTGAAAAAAGATGACAAATTTTCTTCAAAATTATGTTTATTTTATAACAATAGCTGATGATTCATGATTGAAAATAAGAATAAAAATGTATTTTAATAAATAAATAATAAAAACATTGCCTAAATAAAAAATAATATCTCAAAAAGTAATTCTGTATAAAATATAACGTACAGTAAAAAAATCATATTTACAAATTTGTTTAGAAGCACGCACTATATGGAATCATACTAAACTGCCATATACAAACATAAAATTTTCAAAGCTTATATCAAAGAGATATAAATGGGAAAAAATATCTTTAGAGCTGACACATGAGTCTTTCTTATAGTTAAAAGAAATAATCATTATTTCATATTCATACTATTATATGAGATCATACACTATGAAGTTCAAATAACGTTATAGTTAAATTTAATTAAATTCGAAGCCCTTGATAATTATTAATTAGTTTGCTTTTCTAAATTGCATACCTATTTAAACAATTAATTTATAAAGAACATTATTCATAAATATTCATTTTTATTTAATATATTCCAAAACTGAAATTGTTTTTTAAAATTTAAGTTCATTTAAAAAATTTAATTGAATATTAAAATATTTTCGTTTTTGAATAAATATTTTTAATACTTAATAATATATAAAGCAAGTAAGTACAAGATTGATTCTTTTTGACTTATTTTTATATATATTTTCTCCCATTGTGTCTTATCAGATAAAAATCTAAAATAAGATAGTTTGTGATGTGGAAACAAAAGAAGAATTTTTACATCTAGATGGTGATACATCGATAAATGCAATAAATACGTGTATAGAAAAAATTGTCCAGATTCGATAAACTTTGCTAAAATTCTACTTAAAATTTAATTTTCTGGGTCTAACAAGCGTATAATTTTACATTTTAATTATCCTAATTAGTATTATCTTTTAGAAAATTAAAATATTTCAGCACTAGCTGTTCTAAAACTTTAATTTCTTAAAATTGTTTTTAATAAAATACCAATTAATACAATTCATTTATTAACAATTCAATGATAAACACAAATTATTTTACAGATTTATAAATATTAGAAAAAAATAAATTTTTAAACATATATTATTGAAAGTTTAATAGTCTTGTTTACTGACATTTCTAAAGTGCTAATTTTTAATGATAAATCCTGATGCTGAATGAGATTAGTAAGAAAGTTTCTTAATCTATTTGTTATCAGGAAATTTCGAATGCCTTACATAACATGATTACATCTGTACTTCTGCAACAAAAGAAATTATGCGAAGAAACAGAAAACTCAATCAGAGAAAACACGATTGAATCAGACAAGACAAATCATTTCTTTCCACTGCTTAATCTTTTCTTTATAATATCATTTCCTCATTGTTAACTACTTCTGATAATGTCTGTAGACTTACTCTAAATACAAGAAAGGTTTCAAATTTCGATCGATAAATTCTAAAATTATGTTCTCTCTTCAGAAAATTCTCTAAACAACTATAAAGGAGATCACTTTAGAGGCTACTTAATTCATTTTATCTAAAATCAGTTTTTGAATTTGAATTTTTCGAAATTGGCGTACTAAACACGAATTCAAAGATAGTGTTTTTTTTAGTTTTGTATCATTCCTTTTCTCTTTTAGTTATAATTGAATATTTATAGTCACATACTTACAGAGTATACGTAGAACCATTTTATCCTCAATATAGGATAGAAATATATCGTTTCTAGCATGGCATGTAAAGAGAGCGCCATCATCTTCATACTCGACGATAAATGACAGTTCGCTACGCGTGGCTACACCACCATAAGACGCATTGATCGTTTCTTCCGGAAAGTCGCTGATAAGTTCGCTATTTTTCCACCAACTGATTTTTGACGCTGGATTACTGGAGGCTGTAGTGCAAACAACAGTCACCTATAGAATAGTAGTACAATTTTTATACTTTTCTTGTTAGAGATGATAATCAGACAAGAAATGATTTTCTCTCAAGCTAAACTTTTTTATATTAGAAAAACTATAAGATAAATAAATANATATATATATATATATATATATAATACGATTATCTTATTATTTGTAAACTTCAAATATTTTTTAATTTTCAAACGAAATAATACTTTTTTATTATCTCTATATTAATTTTTTGTAATTTTATTGCTATTGTTATTTCAAAAGTTGTTTTAATATATTATTTATAAACTCGTATAAATATTTAATTAATAAAATTTTCAATAGAAGATTTTTAATTTAGTTAACTATATAAATTATTTCTTATGTTAAATTTCAAATTACTCACTGGAAAATTTTCTCTCGGAATCGCAGGCATACAAGCAACAGTCACATTCTCCGGAGGAACTAAAATAAAAAATTAAACTTTTAAATTTCTACATAGCTTACTCGATTTTCAAAATATGCTATTTTGCAATCTAAATAAATTAAAAGTAAAAGTTTTAATGTAATATTTATGCATTTCTTGTTAGAGATTACATTAATTAACTTATATGAAATACATAAAAGATAAGTTTAGAAAGAACACTCTAACGTTACTGTACTTCGTGAACTTATATCTAATCAATAAATTAAGTCGAATACTTACAGTAAACGGTAATCCTTACAAATGTTTCCAATGGTTTAACAGTTGCAGAGTTTTTTGCTTGACATATATAAATTGCACCATTGTCTTTTGCTTCAGCTCTGAAGACAATTTCACTCGACACTTCATTTCCACTAATAGTCACAAGTGATGTTAGCTGTAGATAGCATGTATCAAAGTTAACGTATGACTCGAAATTATCAAACTTTTTTATGAATTTACCATTAAATATTACTGATCTAATACTTTACTAAGAAACCGCATTTTATAACGATATTTTATAGTACCTCGTTGTTTCCACGAAACCAAGCTAGACTGGCAATGGGGTTTCCTCCAGTGCAAACACATATTAATTTCTGTATCTGACCCTCTTTCAATGGAGTATCTTCTTCGTATCCTTGAATTATAGGAGGATTGGGAGGATCTGTTGGGAATAACTGATAATATATCAGTCATGCGGAGTTTCGTTTATATGATGATATGATTTAATACAGAAGAAAAGGTTCACTTACTTACACTTCACAGTAACTGAATGTGTTTTGACAATAGGTGCTTTTAGAGGCAGTCCGACGCCATAACATGCAAATGTTTTGACATTAGGATCCTATAAAATCGTGTGACTTACGTAAGAAATTATAAATTTAGAAATGTTATTAAATAATTCTTCCATTCCATTTAATAAACTAGATATTAAGAATCCTGCCTTCTGAATACATAATCTAAAATCCACCATCAATTTGGTTTCATCATTGAAAATTACTTTTAGAAAGTTCGGATGATCATTGAAGAATCATTATCGCTCGCTTTAAACTAAATTTTAAGGAATAAATATTTTAAAAAATCCCCAGATGGTAGATTCGATTTTAAATGATAAAGAGTATATACGATTAATTTTAAATATTAAAATATTTTGAAATACCTAATAGTAAAATATAGTTAACATTAAAATTATATTTCATTTCAGCATAATTATTTATTGAGTAAATTATAATGCTGAAATTAAACACGTAACTTAAATAAGCAATATACTGTTTTGTTCACAAGATTTATCCCAAAATAATAAATAAAACAGTATATATATAAATTAATTCTCTTTAAAGTAATATAATATTTAAGTATAATAGTAAAAAGTTATATAAATTATTCAAGATAACTATAGTTGTTACTTTCGTAACAAATAAATAAAATCCAAAATAAAAAAAAATTTTGTTTTTAAGTTATAAACAGTTGAAAAAATAAAAACAAAATTTTCTTGGATGTAGAAGATCAAGTGTATTTCGAATACGTTAAAACTAAAATTATGACTAATTCACTTTAGAATCATTTAATTTTTATCCTTGAACATTTAATTATGTAATATGTATATGATAAATAATTGTGTATGCGGTGGCTTAAAATAAATAAGCCAAGTTAATTAATAATGTACTCTAGTGAATAATCTATACAGAATTAAAGGAAGAGAATAAAAGTCAGTACATTATATAATGCATTCATGAAAGATAACGCAAAATGTTCTCCGTACCAAATGTTATTTTATATAATCGATAGTAATTGACTTGTACATTTGACGAATTTAGACGAATTCGACGAACGATTCCATTAGAAAAAAACATCTTTGTATGAGGTTTTGATAATGTATATAAATTAAAATTATTATTTTATTATTTAAAAAATACTACAGTTTATATTGTCACATGTGCATTTTATAATTCTATTTTATAAAATAAAAATATGTTAATTTCATCTGTGTACTCAACTGTAAGAAATATATTATATTAATATTTACCATAAAACATAAGAAATAACAAATATTCTAATATAAAAAAATAAAATAAATCATTTATAAATTTCCAAAATTTTCAATTTCCGAATGCACATCCATTTTCAATAACATTAGTATTAGGCCTATGTTTATAAATTTATAATAAAAATGAGTATGCTATTGCATTCCGTTCATGTTGAATTTACGATGTCTGAGGCGACAAGGTTTTCCAACAATAAATCAATATGACAGTTATAGTGTCATATATCGATATTTTTACTTTCATTTTCCTAAACACATTATCGAATACGTTCAAATTCATGTTGATCACTAATAGGGTTCAAAATAATTTATTGTTCCTAAACATATTAAATAACAATGACTGGAGTTTAGCAAATAATTTTGGTCATAGAATTGCTCTATGTAGACTAATATTTTATGCAGCATTTTGATAAACTTTAATGGCTATCCTTGGATTTAATATGAACATTACGACATAATTCTTTCAAAGTAACATAAAGTAGAAATATTATTTGTAAAATTCCCATAAAAATTCAATAAACGAAAAGAATCATTTCCATTTGTCACCTTGGATAAAATAAAAATAACTTTTCTGCTGCAATTGTCTTACTACATTTTTGGAACACTAAATTGTACTTGCTTCTAAATATAACTTTATTGATTTTTAAGAAAATTTTATTCTATAAGATGTATATGGGAATAGGAAGGGGCAATTTAATTATGTAATTTAAAGATGAAAAACATTTAATATAATATTTATTTAAAAATATATATTCTTTTGTAATAATTTTGTATTTATATTAATTAAATAACATCTCTTATATACGTAAATATATTTTAATATCTTTAAGCTTATATTTAGAGAAGGTTATATATATTTAAATATATATTTGAAAATATTTATATAATCTCAATATAACAGAATATACACATTTTGTAAATATTATTAAAAATTTTTATTTTAAAAATTATAAAAAACAATTCAATATTCCCATATTGAATTAAAATTTTTTCATATAACACAGTTCATTGTATCTGAATGGATTTATCTTTCGTAAGGCAAAATTAGATATACAAATAGTGGAAAAAATAAGCACACATTTTAATATTTTCGAGTTAATTTTTTTAGAAAATAAATTAATTTTCAATGTATCTATAGTTCTATTTTATTATTATTTATATTAAAACATGTTAAAGTAAATTTATTTTTCTACCATTTAAAAGTTAGTTTTTAATAAACTTTATTAATATCAAAGCAATTTATATTTCTCAAAAAAATTAATATTAAATATTTCAAAATAACAAAAATAAAGCCATAAATATTTTAAATTTTTTTTTCGTATTTATGTGATTTGTTGATTGCATGAAACTTAAATGAATTTATTCAAATGAAGCGTTGCAACTTCTCTAAAAATGTTTCATAAAATCTACACTTTATTTAATTATATTGTGTCGAGCCTAAACATTATCGATTGAATTAATTCAATTATTTTATCGACAAGACGTTACAAGTGCTATTATTGCTTTAAATAAGGCAACTATACATTAAATTCTACGAAACAATATTGACGATTACCAGAAGGTAGAAAAAAAATTATAAAAAATGTATCCAAACCTTTAATATAAAATTTAATTTCTTTCAAGCTCGAACTGAATGTAAATTAAAAATATTAAATTTTCTTTTTGTAAATAGAGTTTTCGGTTATTTTAAAATTTCGAAACTTCATTTTATTTTATTTTCTTGATGAAAAAAATCTCAAAATAATATTCATATGAAAGCCTGTGTAGGTAGGTGTGCTTGTATATATATATATATATATATACGGTTTGGTTAATATAATTTTTATATCAAAGTTTATATCTATAAATAAAGAATAAGAAGAGATTCAAGTTCTTACGTTCCAATCGAAGAAAATGTATTTTGTATGTTTAATTTAATAATTAATTTTATTAATAATTTACTCATTATATGATATATAATATTTAAATGTCATTCATTTTTTCTATATATTGTTTATAGAAACAAATAAAAAAGTATGAAACGAGAGAATCAAGAAGCTTCATGAAACGCAACTTTAAATTTAATATTGTAATGGAATTTTTATGTTAATATTATTTAATTAAGTGCGGATTTAAAAGAATATTTTCAAGTTATCCGCCTGATCTCAGTTATTTTCAGTCTGATATACAAAATATAATTAAATTTATTGATTTTTCCGAAATCTTGTGCAATATTCTTATAACTATTTTAAAGTAAATATTTTTCAACTCTGCAAGTTATAAATAAAAATAATTTTAGTTTTCATATTTTCGATTCTATAAAAATTGTTTTTAGTTCATTTCGAACTCCTAAAATCTGGAAGTTTTCCTTTTCTAAAGTCTTTATTATCCTGATGACGATGCAAATCTACCGATAATCACAGTCATTCAAAAAGTATAAGATGCATTATAAAAATCATATGAAAAACAATAAACATCTGTAGCACTAAATGATGCAGAAAGTAGATCGTTACTAACATAACAGGCTCACACTAAAGTTATGTCTCTTACTTTCTTTAAACGGTCTCTTTTAAGAAATATATAAAATTCAGCAAATAACCCACTTATTATAATGTTCACATCGCACCTGCTTGTTGACATGTTATATCTCTTCAATTTACAGAACACGAACAACCTTACCTTGAAGGACTGAATCGAAAATCATATCTTGATATCAAGCAAAAACTTTGGCTGTTATATTGTCATTCTGTTGAGATACGGATTCTTTACCAAAAATCTGGTCACGTACTTTACAAAATAGCCCTATAAACCTAACCAGAGACACAATTCGATCCTCTCGCTGAAGTTTTTGGAGCGAAAATAGCCAGTAATGTGTTTCCATGACAACCTTTAACCACGATTTCATCTTCACACACTTGATATTTCCGATATTTTAACCAAACGATTCTTAAAAATGTTTATCTTTTAACATAATTAGAAACATTGGTTTTAAGAGTCGAAATCAGAATTGTTAATAGTTATCAGATTCAGAAAAGTAGTATGAAATTACACTCATTACTTTCTTTATTTCTTCTCTTTATGACTNTACAGTATTTATAAATACGTATGTCAAGTTATATTTTTATTATGACGCAAAATACATTCAAGAGTTTACGACCACTGTGCCGGGTGAGACGTTGTTGAAACAAAAAATGTTATGCATTCCATCACGTACATAAACAGTGTCGTAATTCGCCAAGTGCAAATCATCAAATTCGTAAAATTTTTGTTTATATTGAACAATCCGGATAATCGAAAATCCGGATAATAGAGGTCCGGATAATCGAGGTTCTACTGTATTTTGCTTTATAATCTATAAAAATTTATAATATTCATAAGCAATAAATTAATGTTATTTAAATTATAAGGTTCTTGTAATATTACTTGAAATTTATATATTGGAATTGATTTTAAAAAATTGTAGAAACAAAGTATATAATAAAAATATATTATATATAATATAATACGCAAAAATTTAAAAACGGAGCGAATTAGATAATTTAAAAAATTTAAATAATTACTCAATGATCACTCTTTGATAATTCTTATAATTAATTACTAACATTCATTGATAATTATAAAATTATCAAGTATGATGTTTAGTGATGACTGTCATTAAATTTCATTGATGATAACATTTAGCCTAATTTGATTATGTAATATTACAGGAATGTATAAAATATATTCTTACAAAGATTTCACGTTTTTTATGAATTAGAAAAATTTGACATCGATCTGTAACTTTATTTTTGTAGATTAAAGAGGATCAGATGTTGTTAGTA